AAGAAATTTAAATGAGGAAAGCCTCACATCCATTTGCATTTACTCCTGGCACTAGCAAGGGTTTTGCCGGCCAGAGGAGGGGTCCCACCCACCAAGGGGTCCTTTTGAACTTTGCAAGTTGCATCCAGACCACCAGAAGCAAGTGAAGGAAGGTCAAGCCATCGATCCCGGACCTGTTAGAAATGGGTTGCCAGAGTTCAGCATTTAGACTCAAGAAGTATTTGTCATTGAATGTACCTTCATCAGTCTGTGTTCATCTTAAACAGCACTACATATAAAGGAGAGCAAAGGATCCTGGGTCATACGAAAGGAGCTTCGCCCTGAAAACAGAAAGGAAGAGGGGGGGGCGAGGGTCAGGAGAAAGGAGAAAAGAGGAAGCAAAAAAGGAGATAGAGGAGGAACCTGAGCTGTTCCCTATCAACAAAAGGCACCATCCTTTTATTGAAAATACACTCAACTGTTCTATGAATTACTTAATCGCTTAATTAATGTAGAAAAACCTGATTGTGTAGAACTTTTTCCTGTAAGGACAAATCCAGCATCTTCTCTCCCACCTTAAGCCCAGGTCGGCCAGCAGAAGCGGTGGGTTTCAGGGCTGAAGGGAAGCTCCCCTGGCCCTGAATTGATTTTGCGAAATCAACTTTTTGGGTGGTCAGAAGGGAGATGACAATGACGATGACAACGAAACCCTGTCACTTTCAAAATGCCACACTTGTCAAAACAAAGATATTTTCTCAACTAATGTGAGAGGCCTTATCCTCCTCCCCTGTCACTCAGCACACTCTCCACGGGGATAATGACAGAGATCACTTGCTTGCACATCCCATTCCAATTTGTCTCCTGTCTGGCTGTGATAAAAGCAAGCAAGAACAAACACTAAACAACAGTGACTTTTTTTTTTTTTTTTTTTTCCTGGTACGCGGGCCTCGCACTGTTGTGGCCTCTCTCGCTGCGGAGCACAGGCTCCGGACGCGCAGGCTCAGTGGCCACGGCTCACGGGCCCAGCCGCTCCGCGGCACGTGGGATCTTCCCGGACCGGGGCACGAACCCGTGTCCCCCGCATCGGCAGGCGGACTCTCAACCACTGCGCCACCAGGGAAGCCCCAACAGTGACTTTTAAAGACTCTTTAGAAGAAGGCTTCTTCACCTGCAGTCCATGAACCCCCTAAGGAATCCACGGATAACGTCAAGATGTCTCTAAATCTCCTGAACTTACATGTAAAATTTCCTATATCTGCATATACGTATTTTTCTTGGACTAGGGCATAGGACTTGAATCGGATTATCTATGGAGACAAAAAAATTAAAAACCATTACTTTCTAGTGTACAGCCCACTTTCTGGGCATACCTTTCCCATGCAGCCTTCAGGGAAGGAAATGATGGGAATTGTGTTTCTAGAGGCAGGGGAGATTATAAGGAGCTGAGACCTCTTCTTGCAGAACTGACCAAGTTGGGCCTTGCAAGGTGCGTACGACTTGCGCCAGTGGAGGGGAAGGGCAGGCATTTCAGGAGAGGGCTGGCATGAGCACAGGCACAGCACAGGTACATGAGGCATGTCTAGGCAATGGCAAATGGACCAGCTTGGATGCACTGGACGGACCACGTGGAGGAGCCCCAGGAAACAAGGTGAAGAAAGAGGTGAGAACACCAGGCCCTAAGGAATACCTCAGCCTGGAGCAATACGGTGCCCTATTAGAGCTTTTTAGAAATATTAATCTAGTGATGAGTGGAATGGATCAGGGAAGTGGCTAAGCACGTAAAAGAGGCTAACACAGAACCTTAGGTAAAAGAGAATACCCTAAAACCAGGGTGTCATGTCTGTTCTGTTCACCGCTCTATATCCAGTGTGGATCCCAGGGCCAGGCACAGGGTAGGTGGCTATCAACTCACCAGTGAGTAACTAAATATCCAGTGAGAGAGCATATGGGCATGGATTCCTTAAAAGATATAATCCGAGAATGAAGAGTCTTGGTGACTTGGACATCCTCTGGGTATCATTCACTGAGCCCAGCAGCGCCTTGCACAGAGTAGATACAGAAGAAAGATCCTTTGAATTGGCCTAGACCAGGCTGAAGAGATACAGGGGACAAGAGTGGAGAATTCCAAGCACTGTCAGAGAGAGACTAGGGATGTGCTGGTTATATGAACATGGAGTGACCTCTTGGGGAGGTGGGTTTTAAAAAGAATCCAAGTCAAGCTGATGTAATGGGAAGAACCCTGTGAAAGGCAAGGTGAAAGACCTCCGTTCCGGGCCTGTCCTCCAAATAAATATGGCTTTCTAGAGTGAATCCACGGCCCAGCTATCCATTTCTATGAGTCTATACTTTCTCTCAAATAACCTGGGCAAGACCCCCATGGCTATAACCCTTAACGCTTCCTTTCCTTGAACCCTAGTTGTTTCACAAACACATATCCTCATACCTCAGTGCACACAGGCAGAGCTCACGTGAGGACCAGACTGCAGTTCTGATTCAAGTCCAGTTGCTCTAAGTCTGTGATCAGTCAGCTGGGTAGCATGTGGCCTTGGTAGTGTCACTATTCACAAGTCATGATGTTACAACAAGAAATGGGAACCTCTGACAATAGAGTTTACTTCTGCGTAAATTTAAATCATCCTTGTATCTACTCTGGCATATGCAGGGCAAAGCGTGATGCCGCTCCCTCATCCTGATGAGTGGAGACAGGGGTGGGGTGAGGCAAAGGGAAGTGGAGAGAAGGGCAGAATTTAATTTTACAGCGAGAGGTAAGAAAAAGAACAGGTAGCCCATGGGTCTTCTGTCCATCCAAAAGCATCTATTACCACTAAAGACCACATTTCCTTAAGTTACCTTCCAGTAAAAAAGAAATACAGAACTTGAACAAGTAAGCCAGATGACCAAAATGTCCCCTAATTTCTTATTTTTCTTATAAGTAGCACCTGTTCACCAACTTGGAGAACACTTCAAACCTGGATAGCTTTAGAATGAAGCACATAAAATTAAAGCCTTCCCAATCAAGAGTGCATCAGTCACCCACTCCACAGTGGGTTTTGTCTTGGTCATTCTGTTTCCATAACCAACTTTGGGAAAGTAAAACCTGGGCCTACTCTAGGGTTCCTAATCCAGTTACCCGTACAAAATGCTGCATACCCAGTCATGAGCTGTCAGGGAATACCCAGGACTCCAGCAATGTCCATTCAAGCCCCTGCGGGAGGCTCCTGAAAAGAATGAATGAAGGCCTTACAGCTTCACTTTGAACGTTGGTTCTCCATGGACTTGCCCTCCGAGTAACACACAATAAAAAATATCTGTGACTTCTACACACTCATAACTTAATCATTCGTGGCTTGAAGATACAGCACACTTGGTGCTATACAGGAAGAATAAACTGTAGCCAAAATTTCAAACACAACTCTTTCCAGCTGAGGGTGGGGAAAGGGGAACTCAGTCTTTGTGGAGATTGGTCCACAGTTTACCTGTTCACTACATTCACATTTTCAGGCCAGGAGCTTCCCTGTCACACAGAACTACCACCAGCTGGCCTTGCAACACACTAAGCTAGAGAGAGGAGAGGTGAACAGTCCAAATGATGCTGGAAACAAAACAGGCTCAACCATTCATACATCCTCCAACACATTCTTATTAGTCATCGAACAGTCCTCTCAAAAGATGAAGGGCTTTAATAAGATATCAACAACTGAGCTTTCTGTGTAATAAAAGTGTCTAGCTTAGGGTATTTCAGCATTTCTTCCCAGTTATATGCCCTACCCTGTTGCTTAAATGGTAAATAGCCTCAAAAACTCTCCCCATTTACTTCTTTGTGAATCCACAGCATTTTAGGACTATTTTGTCAAAACTATATTCAAAGAGAGTCTTTTTCAAATAAAGTACGTGAACTTACCAGAAGACGCTGTCTTTTAAGAAGTTCCTCTTTAACCCCATAAGGAATAACCCTTCCCCAGTCAGTTGTGGTCAGAAGCCCAAATCCACAGCCATCACCCTAGTATCTTCAACCCATATTTCACTAGAAAATGTTCTAAGTCAACCAAAACTATGTCTTCAGAGATGGAGTGCCTCAGTCAACACAGTAACCCCAAGAGTTCAGGGGCTCTATGGGGAGGGAGAGAGAGGACGGGGAAGGGAGGAAAAATCCTTAAGAAAGATTAAGATTGTCCTCAGCGTTGCCTTCCCCTCGCCGGACAATGGCTGAGAACACCAGAAAAGTTGCGTTAATAAAACTGCATAGGGTCCACACGGCACAAAGTGCTCTGCTACCCGTTACAGTGCTCTGCTTCCTACTTCATCTCTCCAATACATCTTGCAAGGTTTGTTTTCAAAAAAGACATTACAAGTTGGCGAGCTTCTGCTTACAAAAATCAGTCAAATCCTTTCCCCTTCACCACTATTAAATCCAACCTATTCCTGAGCTTTATTCCCCCAAGTAAACCAAACATAGGCAACTTAACACTCCAGAATCAACAAAGGACAACGTTCCAGTGTACGTTCAGGCAACGAAAGAAAGGCTTCTCTGCAAATGTACAGTAGAATCGAAGACTGTTTGTAGCTGTTGATGATCTGTAGAAACATTTCCAAGGTTCTTTGAACAAAAGATTTCGATTCAAGCAAGGTCACAAAGAGGATGATGACAGAGTCCTAACTGTGCCTTGGTGTGTGTTCCATTGGCTCCGCTTGGGCGAGTGACTGGGGCCGCTGTTGCCTAGATGTGGAATTCCTTTGCCCTCCGATCTCCACACACACGAAGCACATTAAAGAATAAAATGTGTTTATGTCACACCTCTTCCGAGAGGTTTAAAGTGCCGTATGTTACCACATGAATCCTCACAACACCCCTGTGAGGTAGGTAGGCGGGGACTATTGTTACCCCCACTTTACAGGTGAGGGAAATGAGGCACACAAGAATCAAGGGACTTGCCCAGAATCACACAGCTAGCCACTGGCAGGATAAAACTCATACTGGCTAGCACCTAGCACAGTGCTTTGCACATAGTAGGTGTTCACTGAATATCTATGGATTTTATTTGACTTATACCTCAACATACAACATACACACAGGAAATAACAAGCAGCCACCATAGAACATTTATCTCCTACATTCCTTCTGATGACATCTCTCCTGACTTTGAACCCTGCTGGATGAAGGATGTTCAAGAATCCATCTTGCACCTAAGCCCTCGGGTTGCAGGGGATCGATGTACACACCATCTGTGGACAACCTGCTCTTGCAACCTGCTCTACCACACCATCTTAGTTTTCTAATGAAAACAAAAGTGGGTTTCAGGAACCATGCTGACTTTTTCTTCTGCCTGTTCGTTTTAAATGGAGCCATCGGAATGGTTCCGTGTCTTGTCTGTACAAAAAAGAAATAAGGCTGCTCTAGTCCAGTTAGCTTGTGAGAACTGTGTCAAGCACGAAGATCTCCTCTCAGCTCGGATGGATTTCTACCTGGGAAACTGGACTGACCCCAGGGAATGGCAGCTCCAACAGAGGAGGGTCAGCAGGGCTGAATGTCACTTGCACTGTTCATGGTCTGTGTAGTCATCCAAGTCCACATCAGAATCAAAGAGCGAGTGCCCAGTGAAATCCGTGTCTGGGGTTCTGGAAAAACTGTTCTCTGCTCCCTCATCTTCAAAGGTCTCTGTCCTTGAATAAGAGCTGAAATCCAGCAGGGGCGTATGTGTTTTGCTGCCTTCGCAGCTCTCCTCGGACTCATAGATGGTGTTGTCATCATCATGGTGCCACTCAGGCCAGAATTTCCTCCTTATCCTCTCACAGTACATGGCAAGATTGATCAGCTCACCTGCAGGGTGGTGAGGAAAGCGAGGATTAGTTCTCAAAGGCAACAATCTACCAGCCACTTGGCTTTCTGGGAAACTTAGAAGGATGGGGTAGAGTAGGCATTAACCATGTTTTTCCACAGAGGCACTGTCAAAATGTTTAGATTTTTATACACAGAAGGAGAAAGGTGAGTGGGAAAAGTTAAATTCAGTGAATGGGCTGAATGAAATTTCGGAGTGAGTCTGATGGTGGTGAGAAGTGAGGGGGTAGCTTATCCAAAATGGCAGCTAAACTACCATGATGTTGCTTTGTGAAGTGTTTTATCATTTTATGTTTGCATATCAAGAGAACTAGTCCTGCGACTGGTTCATATCTAAATTAGTTGATTGTCCATGAAAACACACCAACTGTTAGTTGGATTAAGTCAGCCAGAAGTGATCCTTCATTCCACAGATATTTGTAGTGTCATTATGGGCTGGTCAGTATGCCAACCAGTCGAAAAAAATTAGGTTAGGATGGAAATTTTGCCCTGAATCATCCATAAAATAGGTAACTCAGAATTGTCTTTATGGATGAGCATGCCTGTAAACATATTTCGTAAAACAGAGATTTTTTTTATTTTTTAAATGAAATTCAACAGTGCACCCACGATTGGGCTCATTGGGCTTGGTCGTTGGTCTATTTTTTTCCTGTGAATCAAAGGAACATTTTTAAGTTGCTAAAATCGTCCAGGCATTCATCTGAAATACGGCACGGTATATGGCTTTCATTTCCTAATTCCAAATGAAAAATGTAGAAAGAGGGTGAGTTTTTGCTTTTGATCCACCAGATGGCAACACTCCTCATAAGTATATAATTTGTCACTGTCTCTTATAGGACTTTATTGCCCTAAGAATATTCTCTGGATGTTTATTTTTTTTAAGTTATATAAACATTCACTTATTGTGTAGGTAGTCCATGTTTTATTGCAGGAAATTAGAAAATACAGATAAGCAAAAAATAAAAGAATTACCAATAATCCCATTTGCCATAATAACATTCATTTAAACTCGTCCTGAAATTTACATATTTATATATGCATTTACATATATTTACATTTGCTATATAGCATTTACTATATATTCTGTTTCCTATGCTACTTTCTTCACTTAGCAACATATAATGTAAACTTTTTAATTTCACTCCATGACCACCTTGATAATTGCATAGTACCTCATTATACACATGTACCATAGTTTCATTTTGTTTTTTCCAATCCCCTATTATAGCCATTTAGGCTGTTTCTATATTAACAGCTCTAGTGGTTATAGCCTGTAACTACTCTATTTTATTTTCTACCAGAGAAAATAATATATGCTCATTTTGGAAAATTAGAAGTCTGTATATAGAAATGGTATAAATATACATAATACACACACACACACACACACACACACACACACACACACACACACACATACATAAAGAAGAAAACAAAAGCACCTATAATCTCACCAATCCAAGGTAATCACAATTAACATTTTGGTGTGATTGCTTTCAGTATTTTTTTCTATTTATTTATTGTCATTATTATCATTACCTGTCACTTCCTGTAACATTATAAGCATTTTCCCACTAAAATTTTTCAAAACTTGATTGCTGTTCTGCTTAAATACATCCGTTACAAAACATAATAAGGCAAATCCCCCCGCTTCATGGATCCTGTAAACCAGTGGATTTGTATTGGTCCCAGGTCACCATTTTCAGTCTTCTCAGATCAAAACAGTTCAACTCACACTTATATGAGTCCACTCTGATTGCCCCCAACTCGAAGACTTTCTGTACGCACTCGGAAGCTAAGAAGCCAACATCATTGCTCCTTTTTGGGCAGATGCACGCAAAACTTTCCTTTATTTTCTCCCTCAGGGAAGCAGTTACGAAACGCCTCACCAGGTATTGCTGGTAAACAAATATTAGATAAAGACGCAGAAGCAGCAGCAAGGGGCCACTGGGGGCAGGGAATATCAAAGATGAATTGTGGTCACTTCACAGCAGGCCCTGGGGACAACCCTGTTTGCTTCAATCAAGTCCATTCCCAGAAAGTAAGAATCTAGTCACAATGTCCATGGGATCTACACAATATATGACTGTCTCTACTTCTTTTGTAGCCATTCTCTCTACAGCCTGTTTATTTACCTTTCTTCCAGGAGAGCTGCCCCCTTCATGACTGTGTGACATTAGAACCCCTTCAGTCTGCAATAATAAAAATTAATAATAGCACACATGTATAGAGGCCTTACTGTGTACCAGGCACTACTTGAAGTGCTTTATTTATTGTTGAATTATATTAACTCCCATCCCTAGTCCTGGCAACAATCCTATGAGGCAGGAACTATTAATATCTCCATCTGTAATAGGAAAACTGAAGCAACAGAGAGGTTAATTAACTTGCCTAAGGTCACGTAACTATATAGTGGCTGAGCCAGGATTCAGACACAAGCAGTCTCCAGACTCCATTCCCTTCACCATGACTGGACTCTGCCTCTCTCCTGATGAGCTGACAGCCTGGCCTGGGAATTAATAGCTTCCCACTATCTGTTACAGAATATTTTTCTGTAATTCTTTCTGGAGTCTCAAGAATTTTGAGGAGACGGGTGTTGTCACTCAAAGATAATGGGTTGTCATGAAGAAGAGATCCCTCTATCACACAGTGAAGAAAGGGTGTGCTTTTTGATAAGTAAGGGCTGCGAGCTCACATGCCCATCCTCATATCCTGCCCCTGATAAAGAGTGAAACAAAGAGTGAAAATTTACAGTTGAGTTCTCCGTTTATCTGGTTTTGCCAATCCTTGCTTGTTGCTAGATTCTCCACCAGCTGACCCACTCAACGTGCTACCAGCCAAAAAGAATGAAAAAAGTCAGCAGTAGAAACAGGCTATGTGTAATGTGTGTGTGTGTGTGTGTGTGTGTGTGTGTGTGTGTGTGTGTGAGACACAGAGAGAGAGAGAGACAGAGATGCCCATGTTAACATAAATGCCTATACTGAAGATGTAAACTTTGTGAAATAATTTTTTTAAAACTGCAGGGTTTCTTTCAAAGTGTACTCAACAATCAGATAATGTCACCTATCAGACTGGTAAAAAAGTCTAATACCATCCAGGGTGGAGGGTCAGACATTATACTACATGGCTAGTGGAAGTATAAATTGCTATATGCTTTTTAGGAAAGTAATCTGATGTTATCTATTGAAATGTTAAATTCAGTTATCTGTTGGCTCAGGACTCCACTTTTAGTACTCTATTCTACTAAAATGAAATTATCAGTATGTAAAGATAGATGAGCATGGATGTCGAATGCAGTATTATGTCAATAAAAAAAAAGAGAAAGAAAAGAAAGATGGAAACCCCTGAAGGTCCATCAGTAGGGATTGATTGACTAAATTCTGGTATATCGATTCTATAGAATATTGGGCAACTGTTAAAAAGACATAATATTCTATTAAGTGAAGAAAACAAGTTATAAAGTAATGTGTATAATGCAATTCCACTGTTTAGTTTTAAAACAATAAAAATAAAAAAAAAAACAGCTATATACATGCATGTAAATTTGTATATGAAAAAAAAAAGGCACAGAAGGGTTCACTCCAAATCCTTAATATTAGTTTTCTATGGGAGTGACACTGGACATGGGTGAGGGGAAGGTAATAAATCTTTTAAAATACACCTGTTTAATTCAACTTATTGTGACAATATGTATTACCTTTTTAATTTAAAAATCCAATAAAATAAATTAGTAAAATGACTAACGAGTGATTACTGATATTCTCAGACAACTTGAAAGGATATTTATCAGAAAGCCAAATGGCCCTCTACCCCAAGGACACTCCCAGACAGAATAAAGAGCTTTTCTCTTGGAGTTTCTCAAATGGAAACATTCCCCATGGCTCTTTGAAACAAGTGACTCCTTTTATTTTCCTTTATTTCTCCAATTCCTCCCAGCACCACTGCCAGCCCCGGGTTCTTAACCAGCCAATATCCGGAAAACCTAGGGCTGGCGCTCACACACATTCTTTTGGTTTCCAGGTATTTACTCAGCACCTCCTGGCTCCACGCCTGTGATAGGTGCTGGCTGTGTCCTTGGTTGCTCCCTATAACGCTGTGTCACACAGGCAGCAAGGACGCTGAACATTTCCTCTTCAGAAAAGTTCTTAGCAGGGCTTCCCTGGTGGTGCAGTGGTTAAGAATCCGCCTGCCAATTCAGGGGACACAGGTTTGAGCCCTGGTCCGGGAAGATCCCACATGCCGTGGAGCAACTAAGCCCGTGCGCCACAAATACTGAGCCTGCGCTCTAGAGCCCGCGAGCCACAACTACTGAGCCCACGTGCCACAACTACTGAAGCCCATCAACCTAGCGCCCGTGCTCCGCAACGAAGAGCAGCTCCCACTTGCCACAACTAGAGAAAGCCTGCACTCAGCAATGAAGACCCAACGCAGCCAAAAATAAATAAGTAAATAAAATTTTTTTAAAATATTGTTTAAAAAAGTTCTTAGCAAACTTGAATGCGGTAATGAGGACACCCCCCACTTTCCCAGTCTCACTGAAGCTAATTCACAGATCTCAGGATACAAAGACCAGCAAAGATCATTTGAGCCAGCCCTTCCCTGAGACCTGAATTCCCCCACAACCTCTTCCTAAACACTTTGAATGGAGAACAGTAAGAGTATGGGGTGGGCATATACGTGTATGTTTTCCAAAGATATCCAGCATTTTTTCCACCTTTTAATCTATCAAATAATAAGCCAAAAAAACCCAATAATCCATGTACAATAAATAACTGAAGGTAAAAGAGCTGCTGAACAGTGTTTGTTTTTCTTAAAACACAGAAGGTTGTGTTCCTTACAAATTCAGAAAAGCAGTGTTAGGTTCTCTGGGTTTGGTACAGCTCTCCAGGGCAAGCAGCTGTGCGACAGAACCCGTTCCCTTTTGTGCTTTACTTTCACTTTTCTAGGCTCTCCAACTCTCCATGTCTATTTTACAGAGTGCC